TTGTCTCACCAAATCCATAGTGAACATGCCCAGGGCTGAAACCCTTGGCAAGAGAGAACTACCACTTGAGTTACTGTGAGGATTAAATGGCACATTGCACAAAGGTTTAGCATACTGCCAGGTATATGGGAAGCACTCAAAATTAAATAATAATTTGATTGTTGCTGTTATGGTTTTTCTCTTTTCCAAGCTTGTTGGATATATCATGGGATGGGGGGAGAAATGATTCATTGGAGGTAAAACTACCAATATCACCTGCCTCAACATAAATCTTACCTCCTTCTTTCCCATCTTAATGGAAGAGTAGATGCTTAATGAAAGACATAACCCTTCTCTCTAAGGCTGATCTTCATTGGAGAGGTGACACTTCTCTTGTCCAAGGCTAACCCTTCCTCCTCTCCTTTATCACACTTTTTCTTCTCCCACCTCCTTAGGATTCTGCCTATCTTACCAATGGGTTTCAGCACCAGGCAAGTTCACTATGGATTAAATGCGACTGAAAAATGACAATGGAACATTCTTGGGGTGAAAGGGTTTCTTCCCAACTTTATGCTCATAGTGGCAGGTCAATCACATCACTAGAATCCTGTCCACTCGGAGCGAGGCCGCAGGCAGCAAGCCAGTCTCTGCTTCTGGGCCTCTCTACCCTCTCAGCCATCTCAGACTCTGTCCTCGGCACTGCCACGACTCCAGTCTCTGCTCTCCTGTAGCCAGCCTTGAAGCCCTGCAGCCATGCAGCCGTGCCACCATGTCACCCAGAGCACTGGGCGGAGCTCTATATAGAGTCAATAGCAACATATTGCCCAGATGTGTGTAGTGAGCCAGCCAACCAGGGCCAGGTGAGAATCCTGGCCATAAGAACCTTCACTATCCACACCACCCTATCAATTACTCCTTTTAGTCTTCCTTGTTTCCTCTCCCATTTTAACAATGGCAATTTTGTCCCATTTTAGAAAAAAATTTTCCCATACTAAAATATCCCTTCCTTGACTCTATCAGTAGTTCTCAAAGTGTGATCTGAAGGGCTCCTATATCTGAACCTGGTGCGCTTGTTCAAAATGTTGAGCTCCCAGGCTCCACACAGATCTAGTAAGACATCTTGGGGCTCTGCAGCCTGCATTGTGACAAACAGCTCAGGTTATTCTGATCACCATAATGTTGGAGAGAAGTGTTTTGTTACCTGCTCATCACTTCTGTCTTGTGAATGTGTATATATCACTCTGCTATGTTCCTCAAATCTTCAAAAGCACCAAGCCCCGCACCCACCCCCGCCAATGACTTTGCACAAAAAAGAAACCATTTAAGAAAAAAAAAACCTTCTAATTCCTGCAGTATAAATGTAACTCCACTTATGCCTCTTTATTCTTCTTTTCCTCCTGTCAACATGAAAACATGTACTCTCTCCTTCTGAGGGTAATTACGACATTTAAGTTCATTTCTCATCTTTTCCTGCCCTCCTAAGCATGTCACTCCATCTATTATCTTGTCTCTTACATTTTCAACCTCTCTCTTACTGCAGCTTTCTATAAACATTTAAACATATTTTTAAAACATCTCATTTTCAAAAGAGAATTCTCTCTTAACTTCATGAGCCAAACACTTCCAGTTAGTGTGCTTGTTCACCTCCTCTTCTCAGCTAAACTTTTTGAAATTATCTCCACTTTCTTCCCACTCACTGCCCACTTTCTTCCCACTCACTGCCCACTTCTATTTAGTTTCCATTCCACTATTTCACTGAAACTGTTCTCACTAAAGTGACCAAAAATTACTTTATTGTTTAATCCAGTAGACACTAGGTCTGTACATTACTTGACCTCTCAGTTCCATTTGACACTATTGTTCATTCTCTTCTTAGAACCTTTCTTCTCTTGGCTTCCTGATCCTCTAAGTCTTTTCTTGCTATCTCTGTCACTCCTTAATGCTCCTCTTCCCCTGCCTTTCCCTTAAATGAGCAAGGGTGGGAAAGGGGGAGCGGTCCTCAGAGTCCTGTCTGCCCCCATTTTTCCTCTTCCCACCCTGCCCACTCTGCCTGGGAATCTTATCCACCCCTATTGTTTCATTTAGTAACTATGTGCAGAAGCACCCTAAGTATGCATTCTTAGTCCAAATTTATTCTGAGCTCCAGACCCACATAATCAATGGTCTAGAGGGCATTTCTACTTAGACATCACACAGGAACCTTGTACATATTCAAAGTTAACTTGCTAACTTCTGCTCAACCTCCTTCCAGGTCAGTGGCATCCTTGACTCCTTTCTCCCCCTCTCTCTCTATTGTTAATTCTGTCTCCTGTTTCTCACCCAAATGCTGCAATAGCCTCTTAACTGACCTTTTTTGTTCCCTTTCATCCAGGGTGATAATACAGAGGTAGGTCACAGTTATACTGGCCAGTAGATAGGTTCTAAAAAGTTGCTGTAGTGAAGTTTAAAATTAGGCTCAAACTTCCTGTCAATCAAGACAAAAATGAAACTGAAGTAATCTTCATGCTTTTTGTTCTAATGCTAAGTTTGCTCTAAAATAAATTTCTCAGGAGGAGATTTATATGGGGAGCAAGAAGTGATGTAATAGATGATGTTCTCAACCATATTCTGATAATATATCCTATAATTTCATTCAGGAAGTATTTATGGAGTACTTTACTATGTGAGCCAGGCACTATACTCATTACAGGAGATAAAACAGTGAATGTGGTTGTTTCTTATCTAGTCTCATGATTAAAACCAAGTTTTAGTATAATATTAAATGCAACTCTCTGAAGACAACTGGGTGGCAGGAGGGCTCGTTTGTCAAGCCATCCCTGTCTGATGATAAAACCAGGGTCACAGTAACCAGTAACTTGTTCAGTTCCCTGCCTCTTTTCCTTACCCTCCTGGGCCATCCCAAAGATGATTTCAGAATTTCTACACTTTCTTTTAAACTGCAGCTTACTGCCACTGCCAGCACCTCCATACAACACACACCAAATATTTATAGGACTCCCCAAGGGTTGTCTCACATATGCTGACAAACAGTACTTTCAACTACCACATGCAATCTGTCATTTTCCATCCTCACCTGCTCTGGCTTCCTGTAGAGAGCTGCTGCTTAGATATCCCCAAGACTGCCACTGTCCCCATCCCCCTCATCCTGGCCCCTCCCAGTCACACACGTGTGCCCTGGCAAGATAAGTTGCTATTGTTCACACAGGTCAAAGGTGCTGCTCATGATGCCTGACAGCTTTGTGCTGATGCTGCAGGAGTGCAGGATGTGGACTATGGTGGCTTGTCCATTACTGCCAAAAGTTTTCCCACCCAGATGCCAACCTGACATTGCCTTAAGCTGCTCTGATGTGCTAAAGCTACCAGGGCCACTGAAGCTGCTCAACTACCAGCTTCTGCACTGAAACTGTACCACATTTTTGCTGAACTGTTGAGAACAGCTCTCTCCAATACCACTGGGGTTATATTTCATTACACAGGTTCTGAAGCAGGGTTGTCTGGCATTCCCCATATCCTTACTTAGGCTATAGAAAAAAAGCTTTGTTTTAAATTCTATCAGGACACGCAATAAGACTCTGAAAAGTGAATCCATGGGCTAGGCCAGGGGAAAAACTGATAATGCAGTGTTCCAAAGTGACCTTTCCCCCACTGTAGGACATTTAGAACCTTCTAGCTTGGTGAACAAGTTTGTACCAAGGTCGGGAATCATACTTAGTAAGTATATTGCCTTCACATCTGAACCAGTTCGATCCAGCAATAAAATTTAGAATGATGAAAGAACTGCTTAGATGACATATATTCAGACTTTCCTCACAACTTTCTCTTCTCTCAACTTGATTTCTGCCTTAAGATGGACACAGATGATTCAAGATTATGTCCTGTTGCAAATATCTGGAGCACAGGCTTCAAGTAGCTGTATAAACAAGAGAAACCAGACCAGCAGGTGGTTAAGGCTGGCATTTTTCTTTTAAAATTAAGATACTTGGTCACTGGGCCACCCATAGTCAAGGCCTGAATCTTTCCACAAGAAATATTCTGGATATAAGTAAACACATCAGTGAGCTTAAACTTCTGCATGTCTGCAGCAATTTAAGTGTCTTTCAACATAGAAGGGGGATAGTAAGTGAAGATTAAATATAATGCACCTGGTGCCGCCCTTCACAAACGGTAAGCATTGGGTGAATAGTTATCAGGTATCCAGGCTCGTAGCTTCAGCAATCCCTGTCTCAGGACTTCCAGGAAGTCTGCTATACTTCCTAGACTCAAAATACTCCCTTTCACCAGCCAGTTTTAACCAGGTCCCCACGTTTCCTCTCCTTGGGGCCTGGCGAACTCGTTAATTCACTACCACTACACACGCTTCCCAGTACTGGACACTCCCACCGGCTGGGCCTAAAGGGACAAGGTACATTGCCGTGGGAGGTTAAATGCCTCCCGCCCCCGCCCCCGCCGCGCGCAGCCCTGTGGGAATCGTAGTTCTTACAACTCAGAGCCTCGGGACAGACCCCAGACAGGCGTTACCGCAGGACTCGTTTTTCCGTGCTCCTCTGAGCGGATCCCACTGGGGCAGGTCTTGGTTAGGGAGCGAAGGTGGGTAGGAACACTTGCGGGAACTGAGAGCGTGGGTAGGAACTTGCTTATAGAAGAATGGAATCCAGTTGTCAGTGCTAGTGGAATCACTGCTGCCGAGGAATTTAGGGGCTGCTTCCAGTCCCTTCAGGAGTTCTGTGGGCTAAACTTGGATTATAAATTTCAAATTCCCTAAAGGGCAAAAGATACAGAGCTGAGCTTCCCTCAGCCCCGACCCGGCTTAAAACTCCCAGGGAGTCTTCGCTGCTCCCATCTCCGCTTCTTCCCCTACGCTCCCACTCGGGGTACCCCTCAGGGCCTGGAGTCGCGGTGGTCCCAACTTGTGGGGGTACTGGTGTGCGTGGGTGACCGTTCTGGGGACGCTGGAGGCGGGCGCTGTGCCCGGCGCTGGAGAAAGCTTGTGTTGCGCCTCTTGCAGCCAAGGGGCTTCAACCATGATCATCCGTGTCTTCAGCATGCTTATGTGGGCCCCGGTGGGCGTCCTGACCTCGCTGGCGTACCGCCTCCACCAGCGGCTAGAGGTCCTGGCCGAGCTTCGGAGGGCCGATGGCCGACGTCCCGTCGACCGGAGCCTGCTGGAGTTGGAAATGGTGCGGGTCGTGTTTCGACACGGGGCGCGGAGTCCTCTTAAGCCGCTCCCGCAGGAGGAGCAGGTGAGAGAGGTCGGCCTGTGCCGGGGCTGCAGGGGGCGAGGACCGTGTGGCAGACCGTGGAGGGCCGGGCGCCTCTCCCCAAACACACAGGTCTGAAATTTTACGCTCAGGAGCGGGTTTGAGCAGGGTCCCCGAAGAAGGGAAAACAGCGGGAGCCAGTTACTCCGCCTGCTCTTGAGCAAAAGTGCTGGCCTGGCGTCCCCCCAACCCAGCCGCCTCGGAACCGCGGGGTGTCCGGCAGAGGAAACTTTTTGTTGCACTCCCAGGCTCTGATGTCTGTGGTGCTGCTTGTGGTGTTGCGCTACTCACAGTGCATATAAATTGCCTAGGGATCTTTTTGAAATGCAAATTCTGATTCAGCAGGCATGGGACAGGACCTGAGTTTCTTCATTTCTATCAAATATTTAGGTGAACTTGCGTACTAGGATGTAGTGCATTTCTGTGTGACCGTTTTGAAGGTTTTCAAAGAGTTGCAGTGACCTTTGTGACAGGAATCATCCCAACTGGGATCACAGTGGATAACAGAGGTCAATACCTGTGGGAACAGATTTTACAACTTGCCCTCAGGGTTTGCTCAAGGAGACCATCTGAGGTCCCGTGAAGGCTTTTTTTTTTTTCTTTTTTTAAGTATTATTGATATAAATCTTATGATGGTTTCAAATACACAACACAGTGGTTCAACATTCACCCATATTATCAAGTCCTCACACCCTCTGGTGAGGTCACTGTCTATCAACAAAGTAAGATGTTATAGAGTCATTAATTGTATTCTCCATGCTGTACTAAGGTCCCTGTAACCTACTTCTATTGTGATTGCTAATTATTGTGCCCCTTAATCCCTTTCTCCCTCCCACCACGCTACCCAACCCTTCCCTTTTGGTAACCACTAGTCCCTTCTCTATGTCTATGAGTCTACTGCAGTTTTGTCCTTCTGTTGTGCTTTGTCTTTCTGCACCTGGCCTATTTCACTGAGCATAATACCCTCTAGCTCCATCCAAGTTGTTGCAAATGGTAGCATTTCTTTCTTTTATGGCTGAATAATATTCCACTGTGTATATATACCACATCTTCTTTATACATTCACCTATTGATAGACACTTAGTTCACTTCCATATCTTGGCTGTTGTACATAATGCTGCAATAAACATAGGGGTGCGTGTGTCTTTTTGAATCAGGGATCTTGTTTTCTTCAGGTAAATTCCTAGGAATGGAATTACTGGATCAGATAGTATTTCTGTTTTTGGTTTTTTGAGGAACCTCCATATTGCTTTCCACAATGATTCAACTACCTTATATTCCCACCAGCAGTGTAGGAGGGTTCCCCTTCCTCTGCATCCTCACCAGCATTTGTTATTCCTTATCTTTTGGATGTTGGTCACCCTAACTGGTGTGAGGTGATATCTCATTGTGGTTTTAATTTGCATTTCCCATGATTAACGATGTGGAGCATCTTTTCATGTCTCTGTTGGTCATCTGAATTTCTTCTTTGGAGAACTGTCTCTTCATATCCTCTGCCCATTTTTTAATCAGGTTATTTGTTTTTTGGGTGTTGAGGTGTGGATGAGCTCTTTATATATTTTGGATGTTAATCCCTTATCAGATAAATCATTTATGAATATATTCTTCATTACTGTGTGATGTAGTCCCATTTGTTCATTTTTTACTTTGTTTCCCTTGCCTGAGGAGATGTGTTCAGGAAAAAGTTGCTTACTTTTACATTCAAGAGATTTCTGCCTTGTTTTCTTCTAAGAGTTTTATGGTTTCATAACTTATTCAGATCTTTGATCCATTTCATTTTTACTTTTGTGTAGGGAGTTAGACAACAATTCAGTTTCATTCTCTTACATGTAGCTGTCCAGTTTTCCCAACACCAGTTGCTGAAGAGGCTGCCTTTTTCCCACTGTATACTAATGACTCCTTTATCATATATTAGTTGACCATTTATGTAAGGGTTTATATCTGGGCTCTCTGTTCTGTTCCATTGATCAATGGATCTGTTCTTGTGCCAATACCAAATTGTTTTGATTACTGTAGCTTTGTAGAAGAGCTTGAAGTGAGGGAGTTGTAATCCCCCCAGCTTTGTTCTTTCTCAATATTGCCTTGGCTATTTGGTGTCTTTTGTGGTTCATATGAATTTTAGGAGGCTGGCACTCCTAAAAATTTTAGGAGGCTCCTAAAGCTCCTAAAGATACTGTTGCTATTATGATAGGGATTGCATTGAATCTGTAGATTGCTTTGGCAGGATGGCCATTTGACAATATTAATTCTTCCTATCCATGAGCACAGGATGTTTTGGTTTATTGGTGTCTTCTTTAATTACTCTCATGAGTGTCTTTTAGTTTTCAGAATATAGGTCTTTCACCTCCTTGGTTAGGTTTATTCCTAGATATTTTATTCTTTTAAGTGCAATTGTAAATGGAATTGTTTTCCTGATTTCTCTTTCTGCTAGTTAATTGTTAGTATATACGAATGCCACAGATCTCTGTGTATTAATTTTGTATCCTGCAACTTTGCTGAATTCAGTTATTAGTTCTAATAGTTTTGGAGTGAATTCTTTAGGGTTTCTCATGTACAGTATCATGTCATCTGCAAATAGTGACAGTTAATCTTCTTTCTTACCAATCTGGATGCATTTTATTTCTTTGTGTTGTCTGATTGCCATGGCTAGGACCTCCAGTACTATATTACATAAAAGTGAGGAGAGTGGGCATCCTTGTCTTGTTCCCAATCTTAGAGGAAAAGCTTTTACCTTTTCACTGTTAAGTACAATGTTGACTGTGGGTTTGTCATATATGGCCTTTATTATGTTGAGGTAATTGCCCTCTATACCCGTTTTGTTGAGAGTTTTTATCATGAATGTATGTTGAATTTTGTCAAATGCTTTTTCAGCATCTTTGGAGATGATTATGTGGTTTTTGTCCTTCTTTTTGTTGATGTGGTGGATGATGTTGATGGATTTTTGAAAGCTGAACCATCCTTGCATCCCTGGAATGAATCCCACTTGGTCATGATGTATGATCATTTTTATGTTTATTTGAATTTGGTCTGCTAATATTTTGCTGAGTATTTTTGCATCTATGCTCATCAAAGATATTGGTCCTTAATTTTCTTTTTTTGTGGTGTCTTTGGCTGGTTTTGGTATTAAAGTGATGCTGGCTTCATAGAGTGAATTTGGAAGTATTCCCTCCTACTTTTTAGAAAACTTTAAGGAGGACGGTATTAGGTCTCTAAATGTCTGATAAATTTTAGTGGTGAAACCATCTGGCCAGGGGTTTTGTTCTCAGGTAGTTTTTTGATTAGTGATTCAATTTCGTTGCTGGTAATTGGTCTACTCAGATTTTGTTTCATCCTGGGTCAGTCTTGGAAGGTTGTATTTTTCTAGAAAGTTGTCCATTTCTTCTAGATTATCCAATTTGTTAGCATACAATTTTTCATAATATTCTCTAATAATTCTTTGTATTTCTGTGGTGTCCATAGTGATTTTTCCTTTCTCATTTCTGATTCTGTTTATGTGTGTAGACTCTCTTTTTCTTAATAAGTCTGGTAGAGGTATATCTATTTTGTTTGTTTTCTCAAAGAACCACCTCTTGGTTCCATTAGTTCTTTCTATTGTTTTATTCTTCTCAATTCCATTTATTTCTTCTCTGATCTTTAGTATGTCCTTCCTTCCATTGACTTGCACCTGATTTGTTCTTTTCCTAGTTTCACTAATTGTGAGTTTAGACTGTTCATTGGGAATTGTTCTTCTTTCTTGAGATAGGCCTGTATATTGCTATATGCTTTAGTCTTAGAACTGCCTTCACTGCCTCCCACAAAAGTTGGGAAGTTGAACTGTTGTTTTCATTTGTCTCCATATATTGCTTGATCTCTCTTTGAACTTGATCATTGATCCACTGATTATTAGGTGTATATTGTTAAGCCTCCATGTGTTTGTGGGCTTTTTTTGTTTTCCTTGCACAATTTTTTTTCTAGTTTCATACCTTTGTGGTCTGTGGAGTTGGTTGCTACAATTTAAATCTGTTTGAATTTACGGAGGCTCTTTTTGTGGCCTAGTATGTGATCTATTCTTGAAAATGTTCCATGTGCACTTGAGAAGAATGTGTATCCTGTTGCTTTTGGATGGAGTGTTCTGTAGATGTCTATTAGGTCCATCTGTTCTAGTGTGTTGTTCAGTGCCTCTCACTCCTACTTATTTTCTGACTGGTTGATCTGTCCTTTCGAGTGAGTGGTGTGTTGAAGCCTCCTAAAATAAATGCATTGCATTCTATTTCCCCCTTTAATTCTGTTAGTATTTTTTCACACATATTTGGGTACTCATATGTTGGATACATAGATATTTATAATGGTTATATCCTCTTGTTGGACTGACTTCTTTATCCTTATATGATGTCCTCTTTGCCTCTTGTTACTTTCCTTGTTTTGAGGTCTATTTTATCTGATACAATACTGCAATACATGCTTTTTTTCTCCCTATTGTTTGCATGCAATATCTTATTCCATCCCTTCAGTTTTACTCTGTGTATGTCCTTGGGTTTGAAGTGAGTCTCTTGTAGGCAGCATATAAATGGGTGTTGTTTTTTTTATCCATTCAGTGACTCTATCTCTTTTGATTGGTTCATTCAGTCCATTTACATTTAGGGTGATTACTGATAGATATACAATTATTGGCATTGCAGGTTTTGTATTTGTGGTTACCAAATGTTCAAGGGCAGCTTCTTTATTATCTAATAGTCTAAGTTAACTCACTTATTGCACTATTACAAACACAATGTAAAGATTTTTTTTCTCTTTTCTTTTTCTTCCTCCTCCACTTTTTATATGTTAGGTGTCATATTCTCTACTCTTTATTTATCCCTTGACTGATTTTATGGGTACCTGATTTAATTTGCATTTGCTTAGAAATTAATTGGTTTGCTTCCTTTACTGTGGTTTTATTACCTCTGGTGACAGCTATTTAGCCTTAGGAGCACTTTCATCTAGAGCAGTCCTTTTTTTTTAAA